TTGATATCTCCATATAATGTCCCTTTGAACTCGTAAATTTTAAACTAGGTTTCTTGCACGTTTAAATGTTGAATCATATTGATATAAAGTTAAAAATGACTACCATGAAAAATTAATGTCCAGAAAAATTAATATCTCGAAAAATCTATTTTAAGAAAAAGAAATACCAAGAAAATAAGAAGAAAAATAATACTAAGAAAAATTAAAATGGAGAAAAAAAAATGTAAAGAAAAAATAATACCTAGAAAAATTAAATAGGTGTATAAAGTGTAAGCCTGTAGTTCAGTATTTATAACACATGGGCGACTACAGGTAGGTTTGATGAGGGGGGGGGGAGGAGGGGGAAGCAGCTGACCACCCCTGGAATAAATTATATCAAATCCTGCGGGAGTCTGTGTTACACGCCTCCCCACCCCCACCCCTAGCGACCTTAAATCACGTGATATCTGCCCACTAATTTCTTATCAATGAGCCGTTTGATCCCTATTCCCGCCACTGGCCACATAAATCATCTGGAAGTCTGCGAGGTTCTGGTCCGCGGCCTGTGGCACCTAATGACGATGGATGTGTTTCCTTCTGCCAGACTGCCGCTCTACAGAGGTGGATCATCCAACTCCACATCCATCGCATCCGCTACATCCACACCAATCCTAATCCACCAAGTCATGTTTGCTAGTGTAATAAGATCAACATATCCCTCTCTTAATACCCACTCTCACTCAATTCATATCCTCGCTAACTTTCTCACTCCGTTAATAGTTAATACCCTCACTCCCTTAAAACCCACACTCCCTCTATCAATATCCATACCTTCTAGTTCGATTCTCCTATGTGATCATCCCCCTCCCCCCATGTGCTCCCCCCCCCCCCACCGGCCCACCTCCGATCCTCAGACTCTCCCCACGTTCCAGTCATAAATTACCAGCAAACGTTGACGCCCCTCGACCTAATTGGTCCTTGTGTTACCCCACCCCTCGTCCCTACCCCACCCTTCGTTCCTACCCACCCCTCCTTCCTACCCCACCCCCACCCCTCGCCACCACCACCACCTATGCCTGCTCACCGCCACCCACCCCACCCTCCCACCCCTGCCCTGCACACGTTCTCTCACCTACTTCTGCTCATGACGAGAGGTCGTACTTTAACAGTACTCGTCTACAAATACTCACACAGTCGAGGCCGTTTTGGTGACTGCAAGTACTCGATTCCTAGATCTGTTGACACATTATAAAATATTCGATTCCTAGATCTGTTGTCACAGTATAAAGTATTCGATTCCTAGATCTGTTGTCACAGTATGAAGTATTCGATTCCTAGATCTGTTGTCACAGTATAGAGTATTCGATTCTTAGATCTGCCTGGTGCTAACATATAAAGTATTCGATTTCTAAATCTACCTTATGTTACAAATCAAATATTCAATTCCTAGATCTAACTGTTGTCATAATATGAAGTATTCGATCTGTAGATCTATCAGAAGCTAACACATAAAGTATTCGATTTCAAAATATATATTATTTCCTAATACAAAGTGTTCAGATTATAAATCTATGTGATATCACAATATAAAGTATTCGATTCATAGTTCTATTTTATATGAACAATAAAAACCAATGGCGTAGCGAGATCGGGTGTCACCCGGTGCGGCACTTAATGGTGTCACCCCGCCCAGAGGCATAGAGACCCTTCCCAGGGACAAACTTTCAAATTTTCGATTTGCACCCCCCCCCCTCAAACTTTCGATTTGCACCCCCCCCCTCGAGTTTTTCTCTATATATTTTGCTATTTTTTGCCTTGGTGTCACCCCCCTAAATGGTGTCACCCGGTGCGGTCCGCACCCCCCCGCCCCCCCCCCCCCTCGCTACGCCCCTGATAAAAACTACTTGATTTCTAGATCTATCTGATGGTATCTCACAATATAAAGTCTTCGATTTCTAGATGTATCAGTTTTCATCATATAAAATAATCGATATCTAGATTTACTTTATGTCAAAATATTCTAAATCGGCATCTATCTAATGTCACAATATAAAGAATTCGTCACAATCAAAGTATTCGATTTCTGAATCTCTCTGATATCACAGTACAAAGTATTCGATTATTAGAACTATTTGATGTCAAAATATAAAATATTCGATATCTAGATTTATCTGTCACAATTAAAGTATTCGATTCCTGTATCTATCTAATGTCACAAGCAAGAAAAGTATCCGCTAACGATAAAAAAAAACTGCATAACCTTACATCTTAATTATGAAGATGGAGATTAATTAGTGAAGCATTTATTAATTAAGGTAAAAAAAATGTACAGAATTGGCGATTGCTAAAGCAAGTGCAATAGTGGGCCCCAGCGGGAAAAGTCACGAATGTTCCAGTAAATATTTTTAAAATCGTAGGCGGTACTATAAAAATAAATGTTGTTATTAATGTGAGTATTTTTGTTGTGTTGACTAAAGACTATGTATTTGAGGTTTTTAGTTTTAATGTTTTCGGTAGCTTAAAAATGTTCTTAACTTTTTTTATTTTCTTATTAGGTTTGAGTACAAAATACTCAAAGGTTTGAGTACATGATACTAGAAGTAAGGTTTTTAGTAGATAGATCACGGGGTTTCAGTACAGCCAATCATTGATTGTTTTATTAATGCGCAACTTCGTTTCAATTTAGGCTTGAAGAAAATAAATCGAAATGTAGCCTTAAACGGAAAAGACAAAATTCAAGTTCTCTGAAGTTTTTTAATTAATTTATTTTAATGGCTCAACGAAACGATTTTTATCCATGTCATCAATAAGAATGGAGGCTTTTTGTCTAACTCCTTGATGTTCACTGGGAGCTAATGCTAGACACAGAACATAAACTAGACACACTACAGAAACTAGACAGACCACAGACACTAGACACGCAACATAAACTAGACACACTACATAAACTAGACACACTACATAAACTAGACACACTACATAAACTAGACACCCAGCATAAACTAGACACACAACATAAACTAGACACACAACATAAACTAGACACACTACATAAACTAGACACACAACATAAACAAGACACACTACAGAAACTAGACACACTACAGAAACTAGACAGACTACATAAACTAGACACACAACATAAACTAGACAGACTACATAAACTAGACAGACTACATAAACTAGACATCCAACATAAACTAGACACACAACATAAACTAGACACACTACAGAAACTAGACACACTACATAAACTAGACACACTACATAAATTAGACACCCAACATAAACTAGACACACTACATAAACTAGACACACTACATAAATTAGACACCCAACATAAACTAGACACACTACAGAAACTAGATAAACTACAGAAACTAGACACACTACAGAAACTAGACACCCAACATAAACTAGACACACTACAGAAACTAGATAAACTACAGAAACTAGACACACTACATAAACTAGACACACTACATAAATTAGACACCCAACATAAACTAGACACACTACATAAACTAGACACACTACATAAATTAGACACCCAACATAAACTAGACACACTACAGAAACTAGATAAACTACAGAAACTAGACACACTACAGAAACTAGACACCCAACATAAACTAGACACACTACAGAAACTAGATAAACTACAGAAACTAGACACACTACAGAAACTAGATAAACTACAGAAACTAGACACACTACATAAACTAGACACACTACATAAACTAGACACACAACATAAACAAGACACACTACAGAAACTAGACACACTAGAGAAACTAGACACACTACATAGACACACTAAAGAAACTAGACACACAATATTAACTAGACACACTACATAGACACACTACATAAACTAGACACACTACAGAAACTAGACACACAATATAAACTTGACACACTACATAGACACACCAAAGAAACTAGACCTACACCTGCCGTTGCCTGTTCTTGCTGCATGTTCCACCATTCCACTTGATCATGAATTTTTTCATCAACCGACGCATGCGCCGAAACACTGATTCCATTAAACGAAACCGCTTGAAAGCGTCTTAGGATTCATGTTTTCCGATGTAGCGGGGAACAACATTAAGATGAAAGCAACAAATTGGATGAGGGTGAAATTAAATGGCATTAAGTCACCGGTTCGCCGCTGACTCGCTATGTGAAATGGGCGTTCTTTACTAATCGAATTAACTATTCCAAAGCGCAGTCGAGAACGGTGCAAGCTGAAAGGATATTCCCGAAACCGGCGTCCCAAAACTACAAGAGAAGAGAAATCCATTTAGGAAGTCTGAGCGCTACTCGTCTGTGTTTCTTTTGTAATGTTGCTTCGTGTACGCGGTGTAAAACGTGTTGATATAGTCCCAAGCAGGGGTACATTTATAAACACATGTGTTGTAATAACAATAGCATTCCTGCACCCCTCCCCCTTCCACCATTCCACGCAGTTCGTTGCTAGTCACTATAAAGTTGACGTCATGTTTTGGATGTCTGGGGGGGGGGGGGGGGAAGCCCGCCGTACACTACATGACCTTGAGCTATGAAAGCGTAAAAGAAATGTTTTCATTTTAGTTTTTTAATTCATAGACCGGGTAGAATGTTGTAGAAAGTTGTAGAATGTTGTTGAAATGAGTCGAGGTGGTACAAGCATCGGCTAAGGGGTGGGAAGATTTGTTATTTTAGGGATAAACTTGCTTATCTCGGCACATCAATGTCGACTACTTAGCTTTAGATTCTAAAGGGACTTGAATGTTGAGGATGTTTTTAAGGTAATCACCGGGTGGGATCAACAAACATGAGACAGAAAATCTTGTGTTCTGGTGTGTTTGTTGTGTGTTTGTTTTACTGTTGTGTGTCGTGTGTGTATATTTAATGTGGGTGTGTCGTGTGTGTGTGGGTATAGTGAATAGGGGTGAGGCGTATTATCTGTCTTTCCCGTTTATTTAAGAAAAACATTTGTTTACAAGAAAGAACTTGTCAAAGTAAATGTTCAGTTGTGTTTACCTCTCGGACTGATTCCAGACCCACGCTTTAATCCACTGATCCAAGTCCTCCACTGACCCAAGTCCTCCACAGACCCAAGTCCTCCACTGACCCAAGTCCTCCACAGACCCAAGTCCTCCACAGACCCAAGTCCTCCACAGACCCAAGTCCTCCACAGACCCAGGTCCTCCACAGACCCAAGTCCTCCACTGACCCAAGTCCTCCACAGACCCAAGTCCTCCACAGACCCAAGTCCTCCACAGACCCAAGTCCTCCACAGACCCAAGTCCTCCACTGACCCAAGTCCTCCACAGACCCAAGTCCTCCACTGACCCAAGTCCTCCACAGACCCAAGTCCTCCACTGACCCAAGTCCTCCACTGACCCAAGTCCTCCACTGACCCAAGTCCTCCACTGACCCAAGTCCTCCACTGACCCAAGTCCTCCACTGACCCAAGTCCTCCACAGACCCAAGTCCTCCACTGACCCAAGTCCTCCACTGACCCAAGTCCTCCACTGACCCAAGTCCTCCACTGACCCAAGTCCTCCACTGACCCAAGTCCTCCACTGACCCAAGTCCTCCACAGACCCAAGTCCTCCACTGACCCAAGTCCTCCACTGACCCAAGTCCTCCACTGACCCAAGTCCTCCACTGACCCAAGTCCTCCACTGACCCAAGTCCTCCACTGACCCAAGTCCTCCACTGACCCAAGTCCTCCACTGACCCAAGTCCTCCACTGACCCAAGTCCTCCACTGACCCAAGTCCTCCACTGACCCAAGTCCTCCACAGACCCAAGTCCTCCACTGACCCAAGTCCTCCACTGACCCAAGTCCTCCACTGACCCAAGTCCTCCACTGACCCAAGTCCTCCACTGACCCAAGTCCTCCACTGACCCAAGTCCTCCACTGACCCAAGTCCTCCACTGACCCAAGTCCTCCACTGACCCAAGTCCTCCACAGACCCAAGTCCTCCACTGACCCAAGTCCTCCACTGACCCAAGTCCTCCACAGACCCAAGTCCTCCACAGACCCAGGTCCTCCACTGACCCAAGTCCTCCACTGACCCAAGTCCTCCACTGACCGAAGTCCTCCACTGACCCAACCCCCATTTACAAATGCAACTCACATCATACTGACGCCCTGAGCCCAAACTCCTAGGCCCAAACCTAGTCCTCTAACCCTCAGACCCACACCCTAGCCCCCCCCCCTAACCACAGATCCACCCCCTAGCCCCCCCCCCCAGACCCACACTCTAGCCCCCCCCCCTAACCACAGATCCACCCCTAGCCCCCAAACCCCCACACTCACCCATAGCCCCCCCCCCCCCTAACCACAGATCCACCCCTAGCCCCCAAACCCCCACACCCACCCATAGCCCCCCCCCAGACCCACCCCCTAGCCCCCCTACCCCCAGACCCACCCCAAGCCCCCTAACCCCCGTTTGTTTACGATGTCTTGACGCGAGAAGTTGGTTACTCCCCGCACGTCAAATCAGCTCAAAACATTTTCCCCTCCCCCGGGTCTCCCCCCGGGTCTCCCCCCGGGTCTCCCCTGGACCCTAAGTCCAAGCTCACGATTTGAAAATCTCACCCTGATCGCCCAGATCTAAATGTCAAACTGGAACCGGAAGTGCTGCCGTAAACGACGCCTCGCTGGCTAGGGGAGAGCAGCCGTACTCGTGAGAAAGTCTCCCCTCCAGCCAGCAATCCTGTTTGTTTTTAAGAGAGTGAGCCGAACCGCTGTCTAGCAAACACTTTATTCAAAACACGGGAATAAAAACTGGTGTTCAGGCCGGGCAACCCTCGGCCTATTATTGGAATGTCAAAACAGACATTTATATGTAACACTTAACTCTGGAACTTGCCCGCTCCTGCCGTTATGGCACTACCTTCTTGTACTGTACCGGTACTAAATCATGAATTCTTTCTCCGTTTCTTGTACTCATTTCTCTTTCTCTCTCCTGCCTTGCCACCCTCATGCTTCTCTCTTGCTCTTGCTCTTTCTCTTACACATACACACATACATAGGCCTATATATATATATATATATATATATATATATATATATATATATATATATATATATATATATATCAAAGCCCAAACCTTGGTTGAGTTCTGATTTCAATATTAACAATCCAAGGTTTAGCAAACTAATAACAACAACAAAAATAAAAATAAAAATAAAATAATTTATTACATTTCCATATCCTCTCCGCGTTTCCATTCTTATTTTTGACTTACAAAACTGTATAATATCCTAAGATAACATTTTGGATATAAACCAGTAACAGAACCCAGTTAGAATTGTTAAAAGCTGCCCCACTACAATAAGCCAGTGATCATCGAGGTCTAATTAATTATGTTCGGCCGTGATGTTGCAAGGGAGTGTACAACATTACAGAATTATTTTTTTTGTTTAACCCTTTGGCCTACAGATTTTTTTTGGCAGACCTGTAAAGTGTGGGTTCGGTTTCAGGTGTGAAAGGGTTAATGATGAATCAGCAACCCGGCCGATGATGAAATGATGACGTGTATTGGGGTAAAGGATGAACCCCGCGTGTGGCGGCTGACCACGCCATATGCCTGCGTGTGGCAGGGCCACCTGCGTGGTTCACCAACCTGTTGCAGGATGCAGGCACTAACAGATGTGCCAGATTTAATAGGCGGATCAAGCCAAAACAGATGTGCCAGGAAAAATTATGGCACTAGCTTTGATAGGGGGAAATATTTCAAGAGTTTTGTTCCATTTCCTGCCGAGTTACTGGCTGTCACTCCCTATGGGCCAGATATAATGGGATAAGTCTATCCTACAGTCTATAGTAGGATAAGTCTATCCTACAGCCTAGTTAGTATGGAATAAGTATCCTACAGCCTATATTGAGATAAGAATATCATGCAACTAGTTAGAGTAGGATAATTCTACCCTACAGCCTAGTTATTGTGATATAAGTCTATCCTACAGCCTATAGTGATATAAGTCTATCCTACAACCTAGTTATTGTGGGAGTCTATCCTACAACCTAGTTATTGTGGGAGTTTATCCTACAGCCTATAGTAGGATAAGGCTATTCTACAACCTAGTTATTGTGATATAAGTCTATCCTATAACCTATAGTGAGACAAGTCCCCCCCCTCCACCCACCTGTTAATCCCGTCTCCCCACAAGGCAGGAAACGAACGTGAGTTGGTTATTAATTTTTAGGATGTTAACTTTCCAAGCGTCAAAGAAGATCCACTTAGGCGCGGCTTTCAATACCGGTCGGGCGGCCGATAAACCCTGCCGGCGCCCCTCCCCGCGCCCCTGCTCGCACCCTCCAGAGCCTCTCTAGTTGATTAACTTAAGAGGCAGGCACCGCTCACCTGGGCCGGGTTCCAGTGTTTTAAGACACTTGAATATGATCAAATTCTAGAGGCAGAAATTAACCACTTCTACTGGGTCCCAGAGTCGGCGTGTAATGGGGGTGACAGTTGAGAGAAACTTGCTGGCTGTACGGGGTACTTTTGATGAATTTTAGATGTGGAAACGTATTAATTTCAACCCACATAGACGCAGATTTCTATTTTCTTTGAAATGTTTTTAGAAGGAAAAAAAGTGATGGTCAATTTTGTAGGTAGTTGAGAGTTTGTTTCATAAGTAATGTGTAGTTATCAAGGTATGTAAGGTACCTACTATAGTTGAATGAGTTCATTGATTCGTTGTACAGGAAATTTGGCATGGCTAGTAAAATGTAATTTATTTATTGTCTAAATTAGAGGAGAGCTTGTTTATTGAACACGCGTTGAATAGTTGACTTATACCAAAACAAAATACATGTTTCTAAATAGTGAAATGGGGTCAAATATTTATAGGATCTCCCAGCCAGACTACAATAACATTAGGATATAATATTTGAGCCATTCATTATAGGCCTATTATGTATTTCTTTCGCTTACTTATAAATATATGGCTATGTGTGTGTGTTTTTTTTTCCAATGCCTTTCTTGAATGCCATCACCATGAATTCGCCTAAGAATGTTCTGAACATCTTTGATGTAATCTCCAGTCACCCAGCAATCCTCCGTACCGCGGCATATATTCACCATCTGCGTGAAGCTACATGATGAGGAAATGCAGACAATTTATTTTAATGCCGGAACATGTCTACAACATCTAAACCGAGTAAAGTTGCTGAAGTTTGAAACTGTTTGAATACAGGCAGGTGATGGACACTAAACGTGATCACGTGATCATCTCAAGACATTTTATCATCTGCTCCATAACTTCCTCGCCTCGAGAAAATAAAACCTTCACCAAAAGCTACCCGGTACACCAATTCTAATCCTTAACCTAATCCATGCACTAATCCCAAGTCTAACGGTAACCCAATTTAAAAAAAAAAAAACGAACTCACATAACTATAGATAGAAGAGACCTTGATGGTGCCCCATCACGTGCACGAGGCAGTGTGCCTACATCAAAGACATAGACGGGAGCCCAATATTTCTCAGGAATCTAATTCCCTTCAAAGATTCTCTCCTCCAAGATTCAATTAGTTGGAGTTATAAATTCTGAAATGTCCATGCTGTTTCTTCCATAATACATTTTTTTTTCTTCTCTCGGCGTTTTGATGAAGAGAAAACAGAACGGTAGAGAAATAACGGAGGATTCAACGACTCAAATTTAGGAATATCTTTCACGGTTGTTTTAACTTGGTTGTGTTGGTTGTAGGTATAAACTAATTATGTAATGCAGGTGTAGCAAAAGTATTCCTGGCTACTTATGTAATGATGGTACCGTGTAGAAGTGAGGGGTGTAATGTATACCTGTGTGATTATACCAGGCTACTTATGTAATGATGGTACCGTGTAGAAGTGAGGGGTGTAATGTATACCTGTGTGATTATACCAGGCTACTTATGTAATGATGGTACCGTGTAGAAGTGAGGGGTGTAATGTATACCTGTGTGATTATACCAGGCTACTTATGTAATGATGGTACCGTGTAGTAGAGTGGGGTGTAATGTATACCTGTGTGGTTATACCTGGCTAATTATGTAATGATGGTACCGTGTAGTAGCGTGTGGCGTAATGTATACCTGTGTGGTTATACCTGGCTAATTATGTAATGTTGGTACCATGTAGTAGAGTGTGGTGTAATGTATACCTGTGTGGTTATACCTGGCTAATTATGTAATGATGGTACCGTGTAGTAGAGTGGGGTGTAATGTATACCTGTGTGATTATACCTGGCTAATTATGTAATGATGGTACCGTGTAGTAGAATGGGGTGTAATGTATACCTGTGTGGTTATACCTGGCTAATTTTGTAATGATGGTACCGTGTAGTAGAGTGGGGTGTAATGTATACCTGTGTGATTATACCTGGCTAATTATGTAATGATGGTACCGTGTAGTAGAGTGGGGTGTAATGTATACCTGTGTGGTTATACCTGGCTAATTTTGTAATGATGGTACCGTGTAGTAGAGTGGGGTGTAATGTATACCTGTGTGATTACACGATCTGGTGCTACCAACGTTTTATGTTGTGGTTCTGCTGATGGGTGTGACTTATTTGTCAAGCAATTCTAAGCTAGCTGGACGTGTGTGGTCACTCAGCCATACAAAGCTAGCTGTGGACATTTGGCTATACAAAGCTAGCTGTGGCCACTAAGCCATACAAAGCTAGCTATGGTCACTCAGCCATACAAAGCTAGCAGCACTTTGATGAGGAAACATGTTTCAGTAATTCAGTACTGATGTATTTGATATGTAAACTTGTGATGCAGCAATAAGTCTGTCTTTTCATATTCAGCTATAAATTTCCTACCAACAAGACTATCTTGCATTAACAAAAAATGCTTCATCACAAAACTTGATAACGCATTGGATTGATTAAACTCACGCCTTTTCCCTGGTGAAATCAACTATTAGAACAAATATTTTTATTCTGTTATAGATTTAAGAAAGTATTTTCGGGTCCGAAAAATTAGGACATTGGGCTAAAGCACGGATAATCTTAGTAGCCATCAGACTACGCATGCTCGGAACTATCGTCGAAAGTTGAGTTCATACATGATTAATTTGCATGCATGCAAATTTCTAAAATCTGATGGTGTTTGCAGGTAGGAATATCCCGACGTACAAGAAAATAAGGCAAATGTCATGTGCAGGGGCGGGCGGGTAATGCGCTTGAAGATGGCTCTTGTTCAGGGGCGGTAAATAACCCCCGGCATTTAAAGAAAATGAGAAAGTCACTTATTGAGTCCCCTTGAAGCAACGAGCAAGCTATTTCACAAGACAACATTTCGTTTTTTGCTTGGACGAGTGTCTCGAGGAAATAACTGCATCCACTCTGGAGCCGGGAAATGGAGGAGCCTGAATGTTGATGCCGAGGGCAGAGAAACCCGAGCTCTGGAACCGTCCAGGATGGGGAAAAATCTGGTCTCGCCCTCTGTGGACTGGAGTGGTCCTACCTTTCAGTGACCTCCGGCCTAGACGGACCTAAGTGGCTCAACGGTAGCTCCACTGTGTCGCCTCTTTTCTTTGTTCTCGGCCGACTCTATTGTTCGTCTGTTCGTTTGTTGGACAAAATATATGTTTTGTGTTTACTTGGAGAAAACCTTGTTGTTTTGTTATTTTTTATATATTAATTTTGTTACATAATTTAATTTTCAATATTTAGTTGTTTTTTTTTTCTTTTTATGAAGTGGATCTTTTGTTTATTAAATTTAGGCTTAACAAACGTATATGAAGTTTAAATGAGGAATAACATTATTATCATTAGCCAGGGGAAACAATAACCGGAACTCCAAGGTTATGTCCCTTTGATAGACATGGCAAACGTCGATACAATGATGGTAGTAGGAGTGTGTTCAGTTTTGTCTTGTCTTGGTAAATGGTACCATAGCTACCATCTCTACCACCTAAAATTCTACCATCATCTTTCATCACTTGCTATCATATACCATTTATCATCAACTACCACCCCACCATTACTTACCATCACCTAACGTCTTGCCATCACCTACCATCACCTGCCACCCCACCATTACTTACCATCACCTACCACCTCACCATCACCTACCATCACCAACCATCACCTACCATCACCTACCATCACCTACCATCACCTACCATCACCTACCATCACCTACCACCTCACCATCACCTACCATCACCTACCATCACCAACCATCACCTACCACCTCACCATCACCTACCATCACCAACCATCACCTACCACCTCACCATCACCTACCACCTCACCATCACCTACCACCTCACCATCACCTACCACCTCACCATCACCTACCACCTCACCATCACCTACCACCTCACCATCACCTACCACCTACCATCACCTACCATCACCTACCACCTCACCATCACCTACCACCTCACCATCACCTACCACCTCACCATCACCTACCATCACCTACCATCACTTACCATCACCTACCACCTCACCATCACCTACCACCTCACCATCACCTACCATCACCTACCACCTCACCATCACCTACCACCTCACCATCACCTACCACCTCACCATCACCTACCATCCTGCCATCACCAACCATCACCTAATATTTCTTCCCGCTTAAAGCGCGCCGAGGATCACTTTACCCGGGATGGGGGCGGGGTGGTTGATGGCGCATGGGGGGGGTGAGCCCACAGTGAGCACTATCTTCGCGTGCTGTGTCTGCTAGCCGTGGCACCGTTCTAGCCGCAATAAGACACAAGTGTGAGCTCGCCGTCGTACTATTAGTTGGCTGCGTGCGTAATTTCGGTGACCATGCCTGCACGTGCTGGGAGATACTGGCCGCTTCTTGTTTGATCCAGCGTGAGCACAACTTATCGATATCTGCTGGAGATTGGGCGCTAGCACGTGCTAAGTGGACGTAAAGACGTGCATGTAGCCAGGAGAATTGAGTGAGTTCAAATTACTTCAGCGCCACTTGTGTCAGCTGGTGGAGCCAGGCTTGAGGTGTTTTGATTCAACAAAAATTTCTGGCCAATTTTTGTTGAAATAAAATTCTGGAGAATTCTTTGATTCCAAATTTCAGGCAAAATTATTCACAAAATTTAGAAAAAATTTATTTCACAAACCTCAGGAAATTTGATTTCATAAACCTCAGGAAATTTGATTTCATAAAGTTCAGGAAATTTGATTTCATAAACTTCAAGAAATTTGATTTCATAAAGTTCAGGAAATTATTTGATGCCACCAAATGTGTTGATTAATTGCTGAATCTAAGGTGTGGTCAGTGGCCATCTCCCGGCCAGGTGACAGTTCCAGACGAGATGGTACCGTTGTGTCTGAGAGATGTTGACGTCCTAGACCGAGGCGACATTACAGGTAAAAAAAAGTTTCCTAGAGTACAACATTAGTCAACAAAATCTCACAGTTAACAAATACCATTACACAATTAACCGAAATATTTATTTTTTAGTCTTTGACAATAAAATATTTTTAAAATACACGAAAATAAATACTTTAAATCTTAGAAAATGTTTTTGTTGATCTTGTGAAATTGTTGGCTAGTTGTTTTTTTTTAATGTTTTTTAATTAAAAGCTAAATATACTTTTTAATTTGATTATCCAATCTAAACTATTATATATATATATATATATATATATATATATATATATATATATATATATATATATATATATATATATATATATATATATATGTATATTAATCAAATTTTTTTTTTACTTCTAGTTTTGATAGTTTACTTATAAAAGGTGCCTTGTGGAAACGAAATGTGATAAGATAGTTTAATTATTATAAAAGCGTCTTATTAAAAATAGATTAGATAAGATAATTTTATAATATAAAAGGTGCCTGGTTAAAAAGAAATTTGATTTGATAGATTAATTATTATAAAAGGTGTCTTGTTAGTAAGAAATTTGATTTGATAGATTAATTTTTATAAAAGGTGTCTTGTTAAACAGAGATTTGATTAGTTCTGACAGCTGAACGCATCAAATAGAAACTTAATTAGTTATAGCGGTTGAAGGTATCAAATATTTGTATTCCCTCACCAAACACGATAATGTGTTTAGCTGTAGCTAGAAAAAGTTGAACGTGTTGGCTGTAATGGCTACATGGTGCATGATCGAGCACAACAGCTTAACAGAATATTGTTACAGCTGCCGAAAAAGAAAAGCTTTTATTAGGTTTGATTACAAGTATCGTTTCTGCTGCTCCGGATTTTTTTGCTGCGAGCAGCCAGATACACCTGTCCAGCTTTGGCTCAATTAGGCCATTTTGGCCCTCTTCTACTTTCATAGACAAACAGAGTTTTTCATGTGGTGAGTGAGGCTAGAGCAAACAGTACGGGTTAAGGTTGGTTCATGGGTTAGGGTTAGGGTTAGACTTTTCCAGCCTCAGAACACTAATGATAACTAAGATAATAAAACATGTGAGAACGTTTTTAATGCGATCATATAACGAGAAATTGAGAGCATGTGTGTTGTAATTTTTTTATCCAGCTGTCTCATAATAGGCTAACATATATAGGTTACATCATACGTTTACAATTTGTACATGTACACCAAAACTAGCTTTGTTTGTTTTTTATTTTTATTTTTTTGTTGTTGTGAAAATAGAAACTATAACAAATAAAAGATAGTGTTATATAAAGCTATAGCACCACGGCACCACCCCATTTTATACACTGTAATAAATGTGTAAACTAAGCACTTACCACTGTATGTTATATAATGTATGCACCATACGTAACACTCAACATACACCGCTCACATATACACACTCACACAAACATAGAAACACTCACACACGTGTTGATACTGCTCACACTAAAGTCACGTGGTTTGTTCCCTAGGTTTGGCCATGACCTCTGACCGACTGTCCCTCCCTTCAACAGAGAAGAGCGACAAGTTGACCAGACTAGACGGGGTTCTCTCCCCTCACGTGAGCACCTCTCACCCCGACCCCGACTCGTCACTGGACACCCGGGTCTCGCCCGACCCTCGCTTTGACGGGGTCAAAGTTCAACACTTTGTCAAATCTGAAGACATATCCACAGCTTTAAAGGAAGAAAAACCAATGCAGAGAAAACGAGCTTTCAACTTCACAGACGATGATCTCTACACAGCTGAGTCTAAATCTCTGGAACAATCTCTGGACCAGTCTCTGGACGGTAGCCCGTCTTATATGAGCCCAGATCCTGCCACACACAGCCGGTCATCAGAGAACAGTGACTCCAACTCTACTTCCGGGGTCAGCAGTCGGAAGAAGGTCAAGAAACAGACTCAGTCAGTCGAGGATCTTCAGAACCAGCGGGTGTTGGCGAACGTCCGAGAGAGACAGAGAACGCAGTCGCTAAACGAAGCGTTCGCCCAACTTCGTCAGATCATTCCCACTCTGCCGTCAGACAAACTCAGCAAGATTCAGACTCTGAAACTGGCGTCACGGTACATTGATTTCCTGTACCAGGTACTGCGGAGTGACCAGCCGGACACGAAGATGAGCACTAGCTGCAGCTATGTGGCCAGCGAGAGGCTTAGCTATGCCTTCAGTGTGTGGAGGATGGAGGGGGCGTGGTCGACTCTAGGACACTAGCCAACACCCACAAAAATGGTAGGTTGATAATTTAATTTAATTATATATATATATATATATATATATATATATATATATATATATATATATATATATATATATATATATATATATATATACTTATACCTGGTAATTACATACGGCATTAATCAAATCAAATTCATATTTTAATTAAACCTTTTAATTAGATTCTAATTAAACCGTACACTGATAAGAGTATACATTAATTAGCCCCTGATAACTAAATGCAGTATTACTTAATTAAAAGCTAGATGAATGCATATGATTATTAGATACTGTTATTAGTTAAAATGCTTACATCAATTAAAGGTTACATTGATAATTGGTTGGTAGGCTATATTAATTAAAATATACCCTTCCTCGTCTGTAAAAACAACTGATTATTTCAATCTAGTAATTAATTATCTTTTTTTTTTACTCTGATCCCCATCCTCAAACAAAACAATCTGCACAAAAACAAACTCAGCTACCGAAAGTTCGATAATCCCCTTCTTTCCCCTCCCCCCAACCAAATATTCTGGTCACCACACCAATCTAGATTCTCCCTGTACCCTATTGATGTGCTTCTTCTCTTTCCCCCTGATCTCGTGTGTTCACTAAATGTTCACTAAAAATGTGAACACGTTTAAAAAGTGAAACTTATCACATAGAGGTTAAGTATTAACTAGCGCTAACCCCTCGACTTTTAAATATATATTTTTTTTGGTGACCAAAACTAAACAAACGTTAAAATCATGTTCATTGTAATTAAATATGTTTAGAAACCAAAAGGCGTTCAGTATAATTTCCCAAACAAACGGAACTCACACAGTGCAAATTTAACTGGCCACTTGAGTGACATTAAACAGGAGTTGCCTCATTTAACATGGAGGTGTGTTTACAAGTTGAAGCTAATTAATTAGTCAGCCCGCGCGTAAGCTTTAGATCTAGCGAGGCCAGGACGTGCCAATACACGATCAAGGCGGCCTAGTAATTTGTCTTCAGGTATTTATTGTAGGGGTGTAGAACCGTTCACACTCCTTCAACTAACTGCACCCTCAATGATGGGGGGCAAAGGTCAGGATGGTAGTACAAGGGTAGTCCGGGTTTTTTAAAAGGGATTTTAAAATACGGCTGTAGACACGGCTACGACTGAAAGAACGGCTGTTGCACAGCTGTAGTACATAACACGGCTGTAGAACACTGCTGTGAATACGGCTGTAAATACGGCTACAGCACGGACTAAAGCCGATCTAGTCGGGGTATTTGATGATGGTGGAGATAAGCCCCCCCCCCCGTCCCCCGTCCCTCCAGAGATCTGACCATAGTTATACCAACATACATTCAGAAAGGCTAACTACATTGCATTTAAAATATATTCCTGTAAAAAGAACAACATTCTCAACTTTTTTTCGAAAATATCAAATTGGGGGTGGGGGCGGCGGCTAATATCAACCCTTTTCTTGGTCCGTCTATGTCAATAGAACTTCTCTATAGAACACGGCTGTAGAACACGGCTGTAGAACACGGCTGTAAATAGGCAATAGAACTTCTCTACAGAACACGGCTGTTGCGCGTGGCTGTCTAACAGACCTGCATATAATGCTGTGTAAGATTGCTGTAGGCGCATGTAGCCAGAGACGCAATCAGCCATGCCGCTAATTACAGGGCTTCCAATAAGAAAGTTTGACATTGCGGGGTTTCACGCTGTTTGATGTGGAAGGAACGGCCAGTCAATTTCACCCCACAAGAACGCTGAGATAAAAGCTACCCCCTCCCCCCGGGCTTGCCTTATGCCACGGCCAATTAAAACTTCCGGTTCGTCTGATTAATGATGACGGCAAGGACCGGCTGTGTCGTCTGCCGCCCGGAAACATAAAAAGCCGGTTTTCACGGCTCTTCAAACAGCGGAGTTTAAGAAAACGTATTAAGGTAAACTGCGAACTGTTCTCTAAGGTTCCAGAGTTTGTGTCTGATAGTTGGACATTTTCTTTTCATTCTAAATAAAACCATGAGTTACGTAATGATAAACTGACGGTCCAAACGTTAAATCGTTGGTCGTGGACTTGTTATATAACGCAAAAAATGTCATCCATCAAAAATATATCATGAAGCTTTCCGTATCTGTTACATAGAGCCTGTGAGATAGTGTAAGTTGTTTGGTCAGTTGTTTTTTTTTTCAATTCAGTTTTAAAAATAAAAACGTTTGCATCAGATCACACTATCGCACCTTTATAACAATTTTTCTGATAATTCTGGCTATTTTCTTTTATCCCTTGCTATTGATGGTCTAAGTACCAAAAAGCTACAAGAAAACAAAATAATTCAATTATCCTATTGTTGCAATAGTTTTACTGCGAACTCCATCCAAAAAGTTTTTTGGAGAAATTTTTAATTAACTTTCTGTAAATTTAAACCAACAACATTTCCTTGTTACCTTTAGTTCAATTTTTTTAAAAGACGGTTTAATAACATTTTAGTTCGATTTTTTTATAAGACAGTTTTATAACATTTTAGTTCGATTTTTTTATAAGACAGTTTTATAACATTTTAGTTCGATTTTTTTTATAAGACAGTTTTATAACATTTTAGTTCGATTTTTTTATAAGACAGTTTTATAACATTTTAGTTCGATTTTTTTATAAGACAGTTTTATAACATTTTAGTTCGATTTTTTTATAAGACAGTTTTATAACTTTTTAGTTTTTGGCAGGAATGTTTATCGAAGTTTTGTAATGGTCAGTAGTTAAACATGTGTAGGGGTCATTAGTTGAACATTGGTAGGGGTCAGTAGTTAAACATTTGTAGGGGTCAGTAGTTGAACATTTGTAAGGGTCAGTAGTTGAACATAGCAATCGTTTGTAAGGGTTAGTGATCTAACATTTCAATGTTTTGTGGTACATAATGTGTTGAGAGTTGAGGGAACTCAAATAATGTTGTTAGGGTGAGATCAAGGAACGTCATAAAATGTTAGGGGTGGGGGGAGGGCTGGACGGTAAATAAAGTGTGGGGGTCCGTCAAATAAGCTCAGTGAGGTGAACTCTTGAGAAGTACAATCTGAGATAAGTGAGATAAAGATGTTTCTATGACAAGAAAATGAACATGATTTTTTTTTCAACACGAAAAACAAGAAGAAAATGTTAGCAGACGATTGCGTCAAGCGATCCGTGGCGAGCAGATGCTGAGACAACCGCGCCTGGCGGGAACCACGTGACCACAATTGTGTGCTTTGGCGTGCATCGTTGGCATAACAACTGGGGCGGGCAGGCTCTAGGGGTGTCAAATGTTTCTGGAAGCCGCAGCCTTTCCGTGGGGGGAGTCTAATGGCGCACAACAATGGGGTGCCTGCAACTAGGGTAATGTATTGGTGGGGGTCGGGGATTGTTGCAACTATGTCAGGGATTGGTGGAACTGGGTTCAGGAACTGGTGGGACTAGGGTAATGGATTGTTGCTACTAGGTCAGGGATTGGGGGAACTAAGGTCAGGGATAGCTGGACCTAGGGTTAGGTATTTTTAGAACTACGGTAGGGATTGGTGGAACTAGCCAGCAAAATCTTGGTTTAGCAGGAACTAGCCAAAAACTAGTCTAAAAATGGCGGTGTTCATTTTACATGAATTAGTATGGAGCACAAGCTGGAAAGTAAAGGCGGCTGGACATGATGCTTGCTACATTACGATTTCTTAAACTGAACTGTGGTCAGTAAAACATGCAAACTCTACTGCACCTGCTCCATTTACCGTAAGAAAAGAGTCTACTTTTAGTGCGAGACACGCTCTTTAGACCAGACGGACAACACATTTTTTAGACCAGACAGACAGCAAAGTTTTTAGACCAGACGGACAACAAAGTTTTTAGACCAGACGGACAACAAAGTTTTTAGACCAGACGGACAGGACAACAAAGTTTTTATATCAGACGGACAACAAAGTTTTTAGACCAGACGGACAACAAAGTTTTTAGACCAGACGGACAACAAAGTTTTTAGACCAGACGGACAGGACAACAAAGTTTTTATATCAGACGGACAACAAAGTTTTTAGACCAGACGGACAACAAAGTTTTTAGACCAGACGGACAGGACAACAAAGTTTTTAGACCAGACGGACAACAAAGTTTTTAGACCAGACGGACAACAAAGTTTTTAGACCAGACGGACAGGACAACAAAGTTTTTAGACCAGACGGACAGGACAACAAAGTTTTTAGACCAGACGGACAACAATGTTGTTAGACCAGACGGACAGGACAACAAAGTTTTTAGACCAGACGGACAGCAAAGTTTTTAGACCAGACGGACAACAAAGTTTTTAGACCAGACGGACAGGACAACAAAGTTTTTAGACCAGACGGACAGGACAACAAAGTTTTTAGACCAGACGGACAACAAAGTTTTTAGACCAGACGGACAACAAAGTTTTTAGACCAGACGGACAACAAAGTTTTTAGACCAGACGGACAACAAAGTTTTTAGACCAGACGGACAACAAAGTTTTTAGACCAGACGGACAACAAAGTTTTTAGACCAGACGGACAGGACAACAAAGCTTTTAGACCAGACGGACAGGACAACAAAGTTTTTAGACCAGACGGACAACAATGTTGTTAGACCAGACGGACAGGACAACAAAGTTTTTAGACCAGACGGACAGCAAAGTTTTTAGACCAGACGGACAACAAAGTTTTTAGACCAGACGGACAGGACAACAAAGTTTTTAGACCAGACGGACAGGACAACAAATCTTTTAGACCAGACGGACAGGACAACAAAGTTTTTAGACCAGACGGACAACAAAGTTTTTAGACCAGACGGACAACAAAGTTTTTAGACCAGACGGACAACAAAGTTTTTAGACCAGAAGGACAACAAAGTTTTTAGACCAGACGGACAACAAAGTTTTTAGACCAGACAGACAGGACAACTAGGTTTTTAGACCAGACGGACAACAAAGTTTTTAGACCAGACGGACAGCAAAGTTTTTAGACCAGACGGACAACAAAGTTTTTAGACCAGACGGAC